AATATAAGAAATTATTTAAATTTTTTTTTCAAGTGTTGTTCATCAGTTTAGAATCTTTCCTCCTCCTTCCCATTTCTCTTTGATTATCCTGTCTTAGGCAGTTCTGTGGAGCCAAATAATTTGTGGCATATCTTCTTCCAAAGCAAAATAGTGACCTAATCAAAGATTTCTAAATGCATCCTTTATGCAATTTTCAAAGGAGATGCGTAGAGTAGGACATATTTCCCTTTGCTCCGTGTGTCTTTCAAATAATATCTATGACTCGGTAAACCAGTCTGACCATCACATTGGCTATCATAGATACAGATTCCCAAATGCACAGAGAGAATCATAAATAAGTGCATACGGAGAAGTGTGACAGTTTAGTGGAATAGCTTTCAAGTCATTTGACACATTAGTACTTTTCAGACATTCACCTGTCAGTAATCTTCATTACTTCTTACTTTCTTATTAGAAATAAGATTGGTGGGGCGCCTGGGTGGCTTAGTCGGTTAAGTGTCCGACTTTCGCTTAGGTCGTGATCTCGCAGTTCGTGGGTTCGGGCCCCGCGTAGGGCTCTGTGCTGACTGCCAGCTCAGAGCCTGGAGCCTATTTCAGAGTCTGTGTCTCCCTCTCTCTCTGACCCTCCCCTGCTCACGCCGTCTCTCTCTCTCTCTCCTAGAAATAAAAAAAAAAAAAAAAAAAAGGAAATAAGATTGGAACATTGGGGTCACTAGCGCAAAGTCCGTTTTTCTGAGACCAGAACAGCAACCAAAAGTCAGAGCTAGAGGGAGTAAGAATGAAACTCTTCTGGACATTAGAACTGTTTTTCTAAATGAGCTTTCTCTCTTTCCTCTGTTCCTCTTTTTTCCCCCTTCCCTTTGCTTCCTTTCTTTTTCCTCCCTCCCCCTCTCATTCCTTGCTTTTGAGTGCTATGAATTCATTAGATGGCATAGTGTAAATCAATAGTAAACGCTAACCGCCTACTCTGTACTCAGTTACGCAACATCACATAACCAGTACACAGAGACAAAAAGGGAAAAAGCACACACAGCCTTTACATTCAAAAGCTCTTGCATAATTTTACTTTTCCACAGCCAAAAAGAAAAAAAAAGGAAATAACAGATGGGGAAACTTACAGTTTTTTTTTTTTTCCCTTTTCTCAGACTGTTGAGGAGGGAGTTAGTTAACATCCGTGGCCATTTCTAGTTGCCCTAGGCTGCAGCAAAACATCCCATAATTGTCAGGGCCTTAAATGGCTTTAAAACAGGATTTTGTGACCCTCCATGATGTGGTGAATTTTCCAAGTAATATAAGACTGAAATTATTCTGAGGTGTTTAATGCTGACTTGGTTTTTACTTGTTTTGTGAAAATCAACAACATTTAAAGTATGAAATGAATTTTAAAATAGAGGATAAGGACGACGGCTGTGTGCGTGTGTGTGCGTGTGTGTGTGTTTTCATTTTCAATGTATCCTGATGTAATATTTATGTAAAATACCAGTTATATAAACCCTGTCTTTCTCTCGCCTTTTACTTTGGGGGTTGTATAAAGCTCTCATGTTTTTTTTTTTTTTTCTTTATGACAAACTACATTCAAACTCCAAAGTCTTCATGAAAGAGAAAACATCTAGATGCTATTGCACAGACACTTAATTCAAACTTCCTATAGAATTCATCCCCTAAATAACAGTTCCACTTAAAAACTTGCAGTTTCAGGAATTTTCCTTTTAACTTTCTGTCACACTATTCCCTGGAACACTTTGGATCCATTGTCCACCTTTATGTCTCCCATTCCCTTTGTAGCCCTTTACTCCTTTCTCACACTCCCGTGTTTTTACTGCAATAACTGCCTTCCCAGCCTGAGTGGGAACACAGTGAGATTTGTGTGAAGTTTATCAGTCTTCCTTCCCTGTTATAATATTTTATTTCATTTGACGGACTGGTGTCCTCTGGGAATCAGACATGCTCCTGATGAGGGAAATTGGAGGACTTGGTTTTGTTTTATTCTTCCTTTTGAATTTCTACCTATTGAATAGTTATAAAATGGATGCCAAAATGGTAGAGAGCACCTGACTAGGCATTGTTAGGGATCTGCTAGAGGAAGGTAAGCACAGGTGTATGAGGGGTACTGCTGGTGGTAGTTCTGATCGTTCTTAATGCAGTCTGTGAGAAGGGGAAAATGGTCAGGGGAGAAGGCAGACGAGAGTAGAACTCTTAAGACACTTCACCTCCTTTTGTTTAAGGTCAGTGACGTTGCTCTAGGTCATTCTTTTCTTCCAGATGGAAAAGGCAGATGAAATTGGTTCATTTGATTTTACTGAAGGTAAGAGATGAGCGTTCCTTCACTTAAAGAAAAAAAAAGATTTAGGCTATTTCCTAGTTTGTTTACCTTTCTCTTATGTGTTAGCTATTAAATTTATGACTACTTTTGTATGGAAAACTCTGGTGCATAAAGATAAAAATCAAAACCAGGAGAGTTTTGTCTGGTTTTTCAGGTTTCATTGCCTGAATGTGTCTCTCTTACAACAACCGAGTGATCAAGAGGATTGGGATTATCATGTCTCTGCATCTCTGATGATGTGAGGGCGTCTTTACTTGTCTTAATGAATCATGAGTAAGCTAGTATATTAGATATTTATAAATACACCTCCTGGTTTTTTCCTTAAACACAATCGATAGCTCAGGTAGCTTTGTTTGTGGAAAAATAATGAAAGTCGATCAGAATAGTCTTTCACCAGGAAAATATACTCCTATGTATATATTTTTTCCTAAGTGTCCCTCTACATGTGTTACAGTTGGGTTTAGATTCCAGTATGCAGTTCATTTTGTATATACCTGCATCATGTAAAACATCATACTTTATAATACAATTTGACCATGATTATTCCTCTGTAACCAGCACTTATTTTTGGTGTACACACTCTGTATACAGGGAGCCATTTTGTGTACCCTGATTTTCAAATGGCTTGCCTGGATTTAAAAGACAACTTAGAACTCTATAGATGAGCATTTTCTTGGTTGTCAAAATAGTTGGAAGCATGCATTATAAAAGAAATAGAGGAAAATATGTTGAAGTGAAACATCTTTGAACTTTTTTTTGCCTGTTTCTCAGAATAGTTTCCACTCCCTGAACCATACTTAGGGCAGAATTGACCTTCCAGCATCCAGCGGCTGCCAGCTAATTCTGTTCAGCCCTCATTTTCAGTTGTATGTAACCAGTGCCCTGGAAGCAAATAGACTACTTCTCGTTTTTCTTTTGTAATATGGGATCCAGGCTGAGAAGGGCTAACAGGCCTACACTTTCTCTTCTCAGGACCTGCAAGAAGCTAGGGAGAGTTTTAAACATTTTCCCATTTTTCAGAAGTTCATCACAACACTTTCAACCTAACTTCTCCTTGCTGTTGGCATTAGTAATAGATATTTTTAAATGTTGTGACAAGAACCTTAGCCACTGATCTACCTTTCCAAACTTACTTACCTTTCCAGAATTTCTCTAGTTGTGCCTGGCATATAGTAGCCCCTTCATAAATATTTTACCATGTTTTTATGAGCTGGTGAGGGACCTGCTTTGGCAGTTTCCTACCAGTGCTTATGCAGGTGAGCAGTAAGCCATCAGAGGAATAAAGGGGTAAGATGAAATCAGATGCAGCCCTCTTCAAGTCCCAGCACTGGATGGATCACCCCATTTTATAAGAAACCCATTATCCTGTTTCTGTCTTTCTTTATAAAAGTAGCAAATTGCAGAAGGCAATTTTGTGTGTTTCCTAGAGGTCCTTTCAATGGTCAGTGCTGCATAGAACAGAGGGTCATTTAAAAAACATAATTTTTGGCAAGCTACTTTGGTGGTCCTCATTAACTTTCATATGCAAATATGTTAGGAACTTAGGAAATTCTGGGTCTCAAACATATTCCTCTTGTACTCTGCCACAGGGTCCTTTGAACCTTGGCTTTTCTCATTTTTCCAGGACAATTATTTTTTAGATGTCTTTTATTTATATGTCTTACGATGATGAGTATAGACAAATGTATATAAAGTTTTTCTTTTGCACAGTGTTTCATTACTTTTAGTTGCAGTAATTCCAGATCTTTCTAAATCTATTTTGGCTTCATTTAGTTACACTGGTTATTTTCAAGGATTCATTGTGGTGGTGGTGGCGATATTGGGGGTGGAATGTGATCGCTGGTAAACCATCTATGGCTTTTAAATTATGAAAGCAGAGGAAAAACAAGCATGTGGAATTATTGATAGACTGCTGCTCGTTAGGGAAGCAGTTTTTAAAATGCAGATTATATAATATTGGGGGATTTCGTTGCTTCACAGTAGAAGCTTTTTAAATGTTAATTTGGGGTTTGTTTTGTTGCTCTGTGACTTAGCATAAAAGGTTTTGGTTTTAAAAGGTTTCAGTTCACTCGTTCCATTTGTCTTAGAGGACTTGGAATATAACAGTATACATTTATTTATGCTCATGAAGGAGAATGAGGCCAGCAACTCACAATTCATGAAACCAGGGGTAAATAATCCATAACTTGTTCTCTCACCATCACCACAATATTTATATCTAGAGCACAAGTAACAAACAACCAAAACAAGAAGAAACCAGTTTGTTTTTATTTACAAAATGTTTAATCAAAAGTACAGTAAAGTTCAAATGGAGCTGCAAATCCTGGTGGTTCACAATGGTTTGATTTGTTTTTTCAAACAGACCATGGATAATTAACCATAAAACATAACTTTCCCAGTACAAGTTACAGTGAATTGCAGAAATGGGCAGCGAGTCATTCACAACTGGTTGCAACTGGTTAGAGCCCTTAAAGCTGAACATGCAGACCACTACACACACCACCTTCTCAGCGCACACTTGTGTGTTCCTTCCCAGAAGGAAGCATCCTTTACTCTTCATATCGTATCACTGAGGCAGTGTCCCAACATGAGAGGCAAATGGGTTATTTTACACGATCACCATGTTGTCATACATTTTTTTAAATACCCAGCATTGACCGTATTCTTTTCATTTCAGAATGTTTCGCCATCACTAACTGGATATTTCTCACAACATTGCTTTCTGGTAAGTAAGTTTCGTTATTTCCAAATGGCAGTCTAAAATATTGAGGGGCAAAGAAACAAGTGTATTTTTCCCAGCCTCTGAAAGAATTCAACCTAAAGACTGTGGTGTGTCCACCACCTCCAAGTACTATTTGAACAGAAAGTATTTGACATTGGTGAAGGGTACATATTTTATATCCAGTTTGTTCATTTGAAATACCATCATTTAGAATGATGAGACATATGATCCCAAGAACCTATGATCACAGATTTCAACAAACATTTCACAATGACTTTGCTATACAGAGGTGGAAGCATTCAAAGGCCTTGTTTGGCAGACTCTCCAGAGATGTATATTTCCAAAGGAGACGCCTGAATGGATACCTCCATGTGGATATTTTCCATGTGGAACATCGGACGCTTTGGCATTAAAGAAACAAACACAGAACCTTCCAAACACATTTTGTGATGCTTTGAACTACTTATTATTATTCTATGATAGGCAAAACGTGTGAAATGCATTCACTTCATTTGAAGCAATCTGAAAATCAGACCTGATTGCTCTTGTGTACACCCACAAAGGGAAGAGGAAAATTTCCTTTAGGAGCATGAATATGGATAGCCACCTCTTTTACGAGTTAAGAGGACCAAGACCTGAGCCTAGCTTTGAAAACTTTGAGGTCTACATGTCTTTTAGTGGAAATTTGCAAAGTTTCCAAAAGGTTGGGATTGTGGCCTTCTTGGATTCTTGAGATGTCAATAGCTGGGACGAAGAGTGAAGGTCAGGACTGAGGGCATATTCATAGAGCATCACCATGTCAGGAAGAGCGTAAAAGCTGAATTTGCTAGAGGTTCGCCTGCCCCGAAACGTACTGACAGATGTACTACTAGAGAGGGAGGAAGGCAGAAGGGGGTGACTTGCCTAGCATCCGATGAGATTCTGCCTGGCTCCAGTGAGGCTGATTTAGTCATGAACATCATATTCATGCAAACCTTTAAAGGTTACACTCTTGACTTCACTTTATATGAATGTGCATAAAATGAGGAAAATAATCTCGTGGGGTAATAAAGATAGCTTTCTAACAGGAACTTTCTGTATCCATGGCTCATAATCCATAGCTGTCGCTGTATTTTTTTTCCTAATTCTGTCAAACATCTACCTTTGTGTCTGAACATATCCATCTCACCAGTGAAGACCTCAAGCCGTTAGGATTGTCACCACCCCCATACCCCACGTGCACTCCCACGCTTTATTTGTTATGCTGACTGAAAAGAAGCTCATATCAGTGTGAGCAGACTCCAGGGACAGGCTGATTTGGTAACTTTCATTTGTTCCTCCCATTGCTTTCGTGGCAAAAGGATCTCATCACAAAATGGCCTGAATTTCACACTCTTTCTGGCTTGCAGAGAAGCTGGTTCCTCCCCTGTTTCTGTCCAACACACAGAAAGCTCTTTATGTTTCTATGATCAGATAAAATCTGTATTGACGTTTCTTTTCCTGTGGGTGTATTTCGCTTCTAGGTATGAGATTTAAAGTATCTGGGCAAAGCTGTGTGTTTGCAGTTTCTCTGTTTTTAGTGAAAAGCTCCCTGGGAAAGGAGAGCACATCTTATCCACTAATGAATAAATGTTTATTTTCATTTTAAAATGATATATGCTCATTAAAAATAATTTGGAAAAACACATAGTAGTAAAATGAAGAAAAATACAAGTAATTATTTCTATAATTTAAATCCAATAATTAATAACTATTTGATATATTTCTTTACTCTCATTTTTCCCTGAGGAGATACATATATATATTCCTAAAGAGGAATTGCTTATTTAACCTAAATGTCCAACAAGAACATTTTGCGTGTTTTGTTTTGTTTTACTTTTCACTTTCCCATGATATCTTCCATATAAAGTGCAGATGAATCAATCAGAATCCATCAATAATGAGTAAAAGAAGGAAAGTTTAAATCAGTATATATTTTTTAATTTTTTATTAGGAGAACTTTCAAATACATGAATGTAGACAGATTACTACAGTGAACTCCCATGTACTCACCACTCAGCTGGCACAATGATGAACTCATGGCCTCCCATTTTCCCATGCCACTACCATGTTGCTTTGAAGCAAACCCCAGACATCACAGCATTTAGTCCATCAATATTTTGGGCCCATAAGGACATTTTTGTATGTGAATGTTATAAACATTGAGAGAAATATTTCTAATCATTACATATAGGAGTATTTTTCTTCTGAGTATACTGCCATCATATTTCCTAAACTGCAACCGTTGACTAGAAAATCTCATCAGAATATTTTATAACATTCTTAGGTGTATCTGTAAGCCAAAGGGCAATTTGGTTGACTAGAGAGACATTTCACAGATTTGGCTAGGTTTCTTGGGGGAACTTTTTCTTGGCACTTTTTTTTTACTTGCCTTAAACTTAAGATGATAATTTGCTGCTAATTCTGTGTAGCATTAGTTAGACTCATGACGGGATATACACTGTGTTATATACAATCCCATTATCTGAGGTGAAAGGGAAACAGCGCCCTGACAAGAAGTCCAGCTTGGCTACAGGCAACCCACAATGGATAAATGTGGCCAACGTACTTAAACTAGACTAACACTGGATTTAAAAGTATCAGATTTTTTAAAGATTTATTGGCAGAAAGGAAAGGTTTCTTCCTAAGAGAGCATTTACAGAGTCTGAAAAGGGAGGAATTATATATGAATAACCTGAATAATTAAAAAAAAAAAAAAAGCACTATGTTTGGGGAAGAGAGGGTTGAAGGAGATGGTTCATTGTAGGAAAACAAGCACTCCCTATGTGCTTGTACATATTGCTCTAGTTTACTCTAAGAATGTTTAAAGAACCTAGTTTTCTGTGGCTAGACTAGATCCTTTATACACAGAGCTCCACAGATGATGAGGGTGCTGAGCACATTAGGCTCTCCATAGAGAACCTATAATTAGGGTTTAGTCCTTCCTCTCTGTCTTTGAACTGCAGTCAGTGATGGTTCAGTATCACTGCATTGTCCAAAAGGTGTATTCCACTCATCAGAAATTCAGGATGTGAGTAACTATGTAACATACTGCATCAGTATAAACTGGATTTATGTGTTACTCAGGTCTATTTAATCTTAGGAGCACATTTTCCATTGGCCTCGAAAGTGAGTAGCTAGAATATTGATGTGCATAACCCTTAGGGAAGAAAAAAAGAGCTTCTCCACTATACTAAATCTCTAGAAAAATATGAGGGCTTACAGTATGGACACATACAAAGTATTTTCAGCCAAAGTTGGTAGAGGAAAGCACATGGGAAAAAAAAAAGAAAAGAAATAACATAAGCAATAAACTATCCCAAGCAAACAGAAAGCATCTGTGAAATTTGCAGGACTAGATGGTGTAAACAATACAAACTTTTTTCTTTTCATTTCATTTTCCCCCTCAGTCTTCTGATCCTCTCTATTTCTCCTTTATCCTGATCTGACATTACTACCATTAAAATGTCCTTAAAAGGTCAGGAAAGGATCTGATAGCTTGGCATTGAGCCAGGCATCCTAAGGAAAGATGGGTAGGAACTAGCCACTATTTTAGAGCTGCAAAGACATTTTACCATACCCCACAACACCCATATTGTAAAATAGCTAATCTTTTCATCATTATTTTTAAGGTTGATATTAACAACAAGACCACTGAAATAAAGGCATAAGTCTTCACTTCTTCCAGCATCCTTTTCTTATGTGTGTTAATTATACAGTTCATGTCATATAAGCCAGAATATAAACTGCCTTTTAAAGATAAGAATAAGTTTGCCCTTGGTTCTCTCTAGCTAATGTATTATACATTGCACCCAAGTGAACCATCAATGCCTCATCCTGATAATAACTATAATAATAATTATTATTATTAATGATGGTGTTTGCTTCTTCATATGTGTGTGGGGTTTCCTTATGCTTGGCCTTTGGGTCTGGTGTTTGTTCAATTGTTGTTACATTTGTGACTATATATATCCTCAAGCTATAAAACAGCATTTCTTGGAATAAAGTAGTACTCCATATCCTCTACATCCTTCCCCCTACGTAAGTTCAGAATCATTGGTGGATGGTTCTGCTTATATAGGGCAGAATCCTTTGTAAATGCATGCATCGAACCAGGATTTTCATTTTAGACCATAGATACACATAGATAGTTGCAATAGGAAAAAAGTGGCTTATTTATACCATCATGTTTAAACTCCATGTTTCCTGAAGTTGGCATATTTTCTGGATAAACGTTATTGGATGCGCAATACATCATCACATGCAATTACCATAAAGACGAATTATGACATTCACTGAGTGAGGTATTAGGTGATCCTGCCTTAACTGGAGTGGTGAGGGAAGTCTGAAACCCACATTCAAGACAGACATTCAAGATGATTTTGCAGCCAGCGCAGTCACTTTACATTGGAAATGCTGAAGAGAATGCTTAACTTTCTCTTCCTTCATTAGAGATTATGCAAAGCCTGTGACATAAACAACATACTTTGGAGATGGTCTTCTCTTTGGGGGACTGCTCCATTTGCAAATTATGCTAGGGTCCACAGAGAACTGATTCATTTGGTCTACCCCCTTTTGTGAAATATTCTTAACATGCTGTTGATATATACTTTTTGGTCAAAAAGTGATTTGCTTTCTGGTTTTTGATGGCCACTCTGTGAATCAACCTAATGTATTCATGGTGTGGGGAACTGTAACCTCTGAACACTAAGTTTAAAGACTTTTATAATGAATTATTTAAAGACATTTTAGCTCTTAACTCTTTCTTTGTCCACGAACAAGTTGATTGGCTAATCATGTCTTGTTTATTTTTATTGTTGTTGTGGTTTACACATTGTATATAAAACAGGAAGGAGGTAAAGCTATTTTTAAGAGCTAATTATAATGGCAAAAGTGTACTTTCTCTCTAACTGTTCTCTAATCTTCAAATGTTTTGTTATATCAGGACTTGCACTCTCAGAAGTATGTTTCAGTTTTGCTAGGGA